CCATAGGAGATGAAAACCACAGATTAGGCAGCACTGAAGAGAATATTTATTCTAAACAGCTAACAAAATTATAATGGAAATGATGGATCCCAAAATGGCTTTGAGATAAATAGGTCACCACCACAACAGTCTACCAGAAATGCATGTGAAATTAGACTATGGTTATTATTATTATTATTATTATTATTATTATTAGTGGTACTAGCAGGATTAGAGAATTCTCAGCTTCATAGGTATTAAAATTATGGAACATTTACCGTTTCTTGTGTCTGCAAAATATTTCCATTAAGCATCAACTACTTTCCATCATTCATGATGCTGATTAATTTCCATGGATATTCATCTCACCAGGAATCTGTACAGCACATACAATGGCAAATGGCTGCAGGCCCAAAATTTCCCATTCTGTGGTAACAAACATAGGTTATGGGTTTTTGGATTACTGACACATACTCTCCATACCTATATGAGTCTCCTGTAGGCACTCCGCTTTCCTGGCAGTCCCAAACAGCCCCCCCCCATGGCAGGGGACACCCAGGCAGGAAACAGGCAATTTTGAGATACCAACTGAATCTCTTTGGACTAAACCAAGGAATCCACACATCAGGGGGACTGAAAGCCCCAATGCTGGGGGTATCAGGCAAGAGATCTACCAAACGGGCCATCATGTCACCCTCAAATGATCCGATATTAATAGCAACGCATTTTTTTTATCTCGAGTACCTACTATATTTGTTCATGGTTTGTACTTGAGAAGTAAATGAGTTATTGTAAAGTGTTACAGATGTCAAAAACCAAAAACTTATGTTACTGAATGCATCACATATTAAGTATGGTACTCCTCGATGAAGAATTCATTCCACAAACATTAGGCTTTCATAGAAGGTTTCCAACAGACAACCAGTAGCCGCATCTTGTAGCCAAAACTTCCCTTACTGCAAGCGACATCAACACTATCATTAACCAACAGGAATAGGCGACCATTAGTGGAAAAAAAAATGTCTCTGATTTCAAGTTTTCATCATCATTGTCATAATCTAAAATAGAAATTAGAAAAAGTTAAGATTGTACAAGGTCACGAAAGGGGTTTTCAAGAAAGTTGTTAATATCTGCAAGATGATGAGCATCAGAGAATCTCTGATAAAGGCCGCCGACTATGGAGGGCGGAAGGTAACGCCAACTTCCAGTAAAAATAACTAAATACAGGCGAGTGTGTTTTTCTCTTCTATCTCAAACACTGCACAGAACACTGTGGATGTATCTAAAACGAGGCGAACAAACGAGAAGATCGGTAACAATCATTGTGAGGGAGAAAAATTTATAAACATGGATTCATGAAGCTGGTGTTATTTCCAAGGTTCAAAAAAGGTGCCTAAGAGCCCACATTACCAAACCTTTTCTTTCTGAAATTACATCATCGAGTAACAACAATGCATTGTTCTTTCTTACGTATTCCCAAGAAAATCAGGCAAATAAAGTAACAAAGTACTGACGACACATAAATGCAATTATACTATAAATACATAAAGACACATACGAGCTCGGGTCAGTGACAATGCGCACCTCTCTTACCAGCGATAGCGTTCAAAAGGCAACGTCTTCGCTCCCTAAACACGCAAAGCTCCAAAAGTCTCAGTCACACAGTAGTTATACTACGTGAGCACTTAAAACGTTTAAATCCTGTTTCTGTTAGATAACAAATACTAGCATGGGCGAGTTGTGTCAGGTTAGGAGCAGACCCCCGCCTGGCACGCCTCCGTTCCAGCGAACCGACGGGGATTTCCTTGCAGGAACTGCCTTCTGTTTTCAGACCGTGGGCGAGCAACTAGCATATTTTCCCATCATCTAGTTTAAGGGATCGTCTTAAAATTGACTGCATTTTCAATTAGTTTAAACGGGCGAAAGAGCAACAAGGACATCCCGAATGAATGTACAAAGCATACTGATTGCGATGCTTGTAAACTAGTAACAGGCAGGAGGTCCTCTGTGCGCTTTTCATTCTGAACATAAAAAATCATCCAGTTCTAGGAATTTCATACATAATGATATAATATCTAAAATAATAAAATAAAAATCCAACCATCCATTTTTCATACACACTTGTCTTATGCAGAATAAAATAAAAAGGATGAACTTTAAATTTATTTTGAAAATGAAATAACTGTTCATATGTTTACATTACTATAAGCACAAACGAGATGGGAGAAATTCAATAACGCTTTGTAATCTTCTATGTAGTTTTTAATAAATCGAAAACGTATATTTTAAACAAAATGATGTTTTGCTAAAATAAAATAATAAAATGTAACTAAAGACAAACTGTTGAAACTATCGAATACGAACCAGCCAAGACACGTATATTCGTATGCTTTGCATATTCTATATTTTCTAAATAGCTCCACCTAGTGCTCGTTTGCAGTGTGCTCATCCCTAATCTAAATTTCATTTTTAGTCCTAGCTGTTATTTACGTGGCATGCCAGATCGCCAGTCCAGCCGAGTGTAAAAGCACATAAACAAGACAAAAAAGCCAAATAAAAATTATTTGCACCTTTTGTAAGTTGTATGTGATGATTGTATTTCAAGCAGTTTGATCCTTCGAAAAAAAGTCCTGAAACAACTGTGAAAAGTTACAGGTGCCGGTAATTTGAAAGTCATGCATTCAACCAGATCAAATAGACAAAAGTCGATCTCGTGTTTTATGAGTCTGTGCGAACCACACCAAGCATGGAGACAAGACAGAAAAGTAGAGAATGGTCTGTGGAGGCAATGAATAAAATTGGCAATTGTAAGGCTACAAATCCATCTCCAGATATATTTACATTCCTGTGTGCACTGTATGAAATGATTATCAAGAACATTACCGAGGCATTTTGGAGTGTAATGCAGAACCCATTGGTCTGTTTCGTGAGCATTTTAGCAGGACAGAGGCCCAAAGCACACTCCAGGAAGCACCTAGAAATGGTTTCAAACCAAGTGCTGCACTATTTTGAAGTGGCCAGCAATGAGCCTTGATGTTATTTCCCATAGAACAGCTGTGGCGAGAGCTGTACAGAGCAGATAGGAGTAGGCATCCATCAAACAGGGGAAACCAGGAGCATTTTTACAATACTGTTCATTTGAATAATGAATACTCTGAATCGACCAGAGTAAAGTATGGCATCCCACAGGAATTAGCGCTGGGCCCATTACCGCTTACTTTGTGTACGCTACCAGGCAGAGATATCAGAAGCAAGGTCTTGTCTTCATCTGTTCACACTGATGATATGCAGCTGTACGTATCAGTCAAACCTAGCGAGTTGTCAAAGGCTGAAGACTTCTGTAGATGTGAGGAGCAGCATGACCAGTAACGCCCACCCATTCATCTCATAACAGTTTGTCCTGGCCAGGCATCCTATCATAGGTAGCATAAATTAGACTGAGGGAGACCCTGGATAGAATGTAATTTCCTCTTAGTAAAACCTAATAAAACTATTGTTACTCCGCCCTAAGGCAGTTTGAAGCGTGTTTGGTCCCATAAAACTTGATGTTTCTCCATACAAAAAAAACCAAGTACTGTGGGTAAAGATCTTGGTGACACAGCAGACTGAGAATTTGATGCTCATATTAAAAATGTTACTAGAACAGCATTCTAACCATCTAGCCAAGCTTAGGGAGATCTAATTTATGCCATTGCAACTTTAAGAATGAACTATGGTAGGACTGGGCGATGTATCGAGTTTTTCATATATATTGATATATTGTCCTATGAGATATAGGATGAGACAATATAGGTTATATTGATATAGTTTATGTTGCTTTAAAAATGTAGGTCCCCTGTTCTGTCGATTTGTCCTACCTTGCAGAGTTGTCCTACCGTAGCATGTTTGAACAGATATACTGTATCTATCGATCAGCGCTATGCTACCGAAAAATGCTACCATCATCTTTAAAGTGGGTGGCCCAAAAAAAAAAAAAAACATGAATAATGTAATGTAAACAGGCACTGCGGCAGTCTGAAATACATTATCGGATCGTATTACCAGTGTTAGAACTACAGGTAACACATCTTGATAGACAAATTCATTATCAGATTGTACTACCAGTGTTAGAACTACAGGTAGCACATCTCGAAAGACTGAAATACATTATCGGATCGTATTACCAGTGTTAGAACTACAGGTAACATCTTGATAGACAAATATCAGATCGTATTACCAGTGTTAGAACTACAGGTAGCACATCTTGAAAGACTGAAATACTTTTATCAGATCATTCTTCATAAAACACTTGTGTAACCAATTTTCGATAGACTAAAACACTTTATAAGGGAGGATGTGCTGTCAAATATGTGAGCATTACCGACTCATTATATATCAAGCATGAGAAAATGGACGTGATTTCATTGTATGCATGCGCATTACCCAAAGGTGGGAAGTTTCAATAGGTAGGATGAAATGTTAGAACACTACCTATTTGCATATTTCTCCAGTGCCCCCCTCCCCCCTCAGTCACAAGTCCTACATGCAGCAACATCATGGGGACAGACACAGACAGGAGGTCTGTTGGTAAAATATATACTGGTAGTTTTTTTTTGAGCCATTTTTTCATGCATATGTACAGCGGTGTTAAAGTACCTGTGTGACATTGGGGACATTTGGCTCTGACTTGGAACTGTTCATTTGTTATTGCTTTAAGGAAAAAATATTGATCCATATATCGTATATTGCTGTTCAGCTAAAAATATCGAGATATGATTTTTGGTCCATTTCACCCAGTCCTAAATTATGGTAATGCTTAACATGCTGGATGTGCCTCTGGATCCTTAAACACACATCAGCTGCCCTTAAGAAAACCAGTAAATTTCATCATATGAATCCTATCTTGTGGTTGCTGGAACTTGGCCCCGGGACTCTGAAGTGTTTAAAACCAATGCTAAAAACACTATATATAAAAAAGTGAATTTCAATTCAAATAGTGGTGTCAGGTTGCACAAAGGAAGCCAAAAACAATATTGCGACAATTCAAATTTAAAAATTTTATTTAACTTTCATACAACTACTTCAGTCTTAAAGGGAAACATCAAGTTCCATTCATTTTATAAAAAATTAGGTTTTCTTACAGATTCTTTTGAAATCACATTTACAATTACGTGAGAGACATTGCATTCAAACAATGTTTATTTTCACATAAATGGAGATTATAAAAAGAAAACCCAGAACTCCGATGCATCCAATACATAAATTGACCAAATTTATACAGTGAAATGAATACCAAAAAAATGCATGTGCCCAAAGTGTGTGTCTCTCTCAGGCAAGTCAGCTTTCTGACCATTGAAGCACGGTGATGACTATAAACATTCAAGGCCTTCATCATACACTTCATTTTCAATCCCTGATCCACCTTCAGTCTTCATGAATGTTGAAGAGCTTAGCTACTTCATTTAGGTCTGCATGTTCCTCCCCATCCTTAATAATCTTAAACAAACAAACAAAAGGCCACTCATTACCAGGATCACAGTTACTTTATGTCTTTGCAACAAATGTTCATTTGTAGGTAGACGTGTTACTTAAAAGCCCGAGTGACACTTTTCCGTTGATACAGTGTACCCACAGGCCAAGCAGAGTTGTTACGGTCCATAAATCTGACAGATTAGGTGTTTTGAAATGTGTACGTTAAATCACTTACCTTCCTGGCTATGGGCATTCTGTTGAATACATTCCACAGAATGATGCCCACTACGACTTTGTCCCGAAGATAAAAGATGACTCCCTTCCCATAATCCTCTCCCTGCTGGGGTATACGAGGACTGCTCGTGGAAACAGCTGCTTCACCGCTGGCTATTGCTTCAGTCTCGCTTTCTGACCGGATACCAGTTCCTACAAAAATTTGCAAAGAGGGCCATTTCATCATGAATTACATTTGGATTTCTCACAGACACTCTAAAACCATTAATATCTTATAAGCTGAACAAAGAAAGAATTAATCAAGTGAAGTAATTAATATTAACACTGAAGTTGACACTAGGAACCCAATTTGACATGTAAAAGGATTTTCTCACTCTAAGGAGCTACATGAGGACTGGGCTGAGGGCTGTACCTGATTCTTCAGTAGCAGCTTTTGGGGTGTCTTTCGGTGTTGCTTTAGCAAAGACACCAACTGTTGGAAGGCTACTGTCCACAATTCCAATGGCTTCATAGCCTACATCAGGGCCAAGGTCACTCCTAACACACAACACGGAAATCGAGATCAAATGGATGAAAACAGAGCTGCACAACATTGCATTGTGATGTAATCGCGATTATATGGCACACGTGCAATAATCACCTACATTGTGTGCATAAAACATTTGCCTGGGCGCTGGTTTTTCAGTACTACACGGATGTTTACTTACACCCACAATTTGGTATGCAGATTAGTAGTATGTCTAAAATATTAAACCCATATTGCGATGTCCAAAATTTAGTAATCTGTATAAATTCAGTGTATCCTTATGTTTATTAAATTCGGTTAGTGGAGCACACCACATGCTACCATTCTGGTAAATCATGGAAGCGATAAACCCTGAAGTCGATGTGAAGAAAGGGAACAACAATAAATAACGTAAAGATGTCGTTGGTGTAGTGGTACTTTTCGCAGTTTAAAGTCTGACACGCTCAGGATACGCTGGATTTATACTAGATTACTAACTATTTGACGTCATAATATACCTCATTAATATTTTAGATATACTACTAATCTGTAGAGATGCACCAACACCAATACTGGCATTGGGTATCAGGCCGATACTGCGCTCATATAGTCATACTCGTAAAAATTCTCTGATACCAAGAACCAATACCACTTAATTGCAACATTACATTAAAAACTCTAGGTCTAGAGTTAAGTCTAGAGTCTAACTGCGCAGAACACTGGCATTGGCAAACTGGCGAGTAAACACAGAGGATGTCGGCGGTTTGGATGTATTTTAAGATAAGGGATGATGACAGAAGTAAAGCAGATTGTAAGCTCTGTTCTGCTAAAGTGTCAAGAGAAGGAAGGGACAACATGTCATTTAGCACAAGGAATTTGATCAAACATCTAAAGACGCACCAAAGTGCAGAGTTTGCTAATGCTAGCAGAGAAAGACCGCGACAACAACCTGTAGCGCAATTTCCGGAGAAGAGAGAGAAAATGTTGAGAGACAACCAACGTGCAGGAAAAATAACAGAGGCTCTTACGGCACTGGCCAGTAGGTCCTGCCACACAGACATGCCTCAGAGCAGTAGGTCCTGCCACACAGACATGCCTCAGAGCAGTAGGTCCTGCCACACAGACATGCCTCAGAGCAGGGCAGGTTTCTGTTCATCATTGCAGGGGATGGGTATATCGGGGTTAGAGGTGTGACGTCATCGAATTATAGCTTCAAGTTGCATTATAGTTAATATTTATTAGTAAATTATTGCTGTAATAGTTACAATAGTGAAATTTCTCTTTCCATTTTTACTGTTCATCTTCACTAATATGGTAATGCTGAATTGCTGAAATGTCTGGTCCTGCACTGTGGAAAAATCACTATTGCACCCTGAGGTGAGGTCAAATATTTTTCTGACTAAGTGGGTAGGGATTCTGTAGCTCGGCCCAATAGAGCCATATGTCCAGTTTTCAGTGTAATGCATTACCCTCATACAAAACAAACCGTCACTGACTAAATATATTTTCATGCCATAGTGACACATTAATGAATGTTCTTTGCATTATAATCCATTGACAGGAAGAACTCTTGAACCTCAGAGACTTTGTTTACACAAAGTTATGTTTATATTTGGTTGGAAACGGCCTCATGTTATGCATTTTATTTGATACAATCGGAATATTATAGCAAGCTAAGCAAATCTGAAGAAAAAAAATCAACTCCTCCAGTTCATTGCATGTGATGGTAATTGTTAGTCTGGTATGATGATGATCATCATCATCATCATCATCAGGTTTACAGCCATGCAGTGGGTCAGGTCATTGTTGTTTTCAATGTTTAAATACTGCCTTAAGTACTTGTATTGGTACTTGGTATCGGCATGTACACAAATGTAGATACTCATAATCGGTCTGAAGAAAATGGGATTGGGGCAACCCTATAATCTGGTTACCAAATTGTGGGTTTAAGTAAATGCCCGAACAGTATCGAATATACAGCATCTGGATGAATGCTTACACCCACCATCTAATGTCGGGTAATTACTGTGCATATGCCATATAATCATGACATGATATCATGCAGCCCTAAATGAAACAAAACTTTACTTTCTGAACAAACATTTGAAATCAAGCCTCACCAGAACATAGACTGGTGCCAATAGGGTTTGCTGGCTCCAGTCATGTTTTCCCCAGCCAGTCTACCGCTCACCACTGCATGGTCATGGTGTTCCACCCGTCGCCGGCCCAGTCTGATGTCATAAAAGCAGGCGGCATCACCAGCCTATGGAAACAACACACCGGTGAACACTGACCAATACCATTTGTAATACTACCTCAAATTTTGTTTTCATTTTATATTTAGAAAATTCCAGGCTTTTAAACTTAACTCTCCGAATAAAAACAAACATTCATGTTCCGTTTTTAAGCACTACTTTAAATTTAAAGCGCATACCACCCATATGTTAGACCGAGCCTGCAGTTCCGCATTGACTCTGTACCCGCCAAAGTCAGAGTCCACCTCCAGACCAGCAGACTTGGCCAGCTCCACACTTGGCTCCAGTCCCACTGCAGCTACAATGTGATCAGTTTTTACCTAAGTGAACAAAGGTAACATTTACAAATGAACACATACAGCATGGCAACAACTGCTGTGCAAAAACAAGAAAACCACCCTCATATTGTGTGGCACTCCTTTTGCCCTCAAAACAACGTGCATAGATTCAGTGTCTCTCCCAGGGCTGCTGCCCATTCAGACTTCAGTGTTGCTTTCCCATAGTTGTGTTGACTTTGTTTTCCAGGCCGCTACCAACTAACTCATTCCACTTTGTTCCACAGACAATCAACCCTTAAGAACCCTTCATCCTGTCTGTTCTATGCTTCTTGATGTGGATCCGAGAGTAGAGATCAATAAGAGATTAATAACTTTCACTTGGACTGATCAGAGCAGGCTATGCCAAGGAAGGAACTGGTGTCCCCGCTTTGTGAACTCAAGTCTATTTGTATTCCCAAACAAAATCTCCTGCACTCAATTCACAAAAAATCTTAATCCTCTGACTGAATGGGTCATTTGTTTATTATTTACAAAACAAACAGACAGACAATAATAGGGACAGGAGGGTGGCACAGTGGGGTTTGGGTGTCATGATCTCTCTGCATGTTCTCCCCGTATCATCATGAGGTTTCCTCTGGGTTCTCCAGGTTCCTCCCACAGTCCAAAAACATGCTGAAGTTAATCTGAGTGACCAAATGGTGAGCGAGTGAATGGTGTGCATGCCCTGCGATGAGTCTGAGTAGGTGAGCGAGTGAATGGTGTGCATGCCCTGCGATGAGTCTGCGTAGGTGAGCGAGTGAATGGTGTGCATGCCCTGCGATGAGTCTGCGTAGGTGAGCGAGTGAATGGTGTGCATGCCCTGCGATGAGTCTGCGTAGGTGAGCGAGTGAATGGTGTGCATGCCCTGCGATGAGTCTGCACCCCAACATGGGTTATTCCCAGCCCTGCAACAGTAGCTTCCAGACCGGCAAGACTCATCTTAAGCGGGTATAAAATATATAGGTAACAGGGTCATTCCATTGTAATTCAACAAATAGCCATTATATCATTGTTGATGAAATGCAGCATGTGAATTATGCATACCTTGCGGAGCTCAGTAATGTTTTTTGTTTATGTATTTTTAATCCCTTTAAGATATAGCACCTTTTATAAATCATGGGTAGCAAAAAAAAAATTGTATATTTTCTTAGAAGCTGTAACTTTACTATTACAGCTGCATGGTTCAGTACAGGCCGTTGGAAAGCCCGAAAAAGAGGACTTTTACATGGGATGGTCAAATTTCATCAAAAATGCGATACAAAACTTTAGACATTTGTTGAATTAAAATGGAGCGACCCAATAACTAGATTTGCAAGGGAAATATACTGGGTCCGAGCACCCCAATGTGGCCTAGAACCCAAGGGTCCAGACTCGTGCAACAAGAACCAGACGCAGAGACATCACTGAAACAGGCCAGGCATGGCTTGCATGCTGGCATGCTTGAGAGTAGCACACCACAGGCCCTTGAGTATGAAGTGCGTCACCGGACATCCTGATATTCCCCAAGTTCAATGCATCCTTGGATAAACAAGGGAGGGGCATGCACTTCACTTCTTTAACCAATCACAGTCTTCCATGTGTGACATCAGCAGAACAACCACATATCCTTGGGCCACTAAGCAAAGCCCTTAACCTCCAGCTTTATTACAGTACTATCATTACAATCATCATGATGAAATAAAGACACAGCTTTCGCAAGCGTCTTCCTTTGTTATGTACTTTAACAAAAGGCGTACACAATAAAACAGGTAGTTTACAAATCTGTGTACTTTGCCACAAGAGAAAACACTGGTTTTAATTAATGGTGATGTCATACAATGAAGATTGTGACTGGTTAAAGAAGCGAAACACAAGGCCCTCCCTTGGTGACTCATGAATGCATTCAACTCGGGAAAATCGGGACGTCCGTGTGTCACATGCATTTCATTTGATTTGTGAGGTATTGTTCGGTCTTTTGAGGTTATTATTCCTGATAGATGGTTCAAACACACGGACACAGACAGACACAGTGCAGTTAGAGAGGCGGTTATGGCTTCACACACACAGAGTATTTTCTGCTACACCTGCATTACTGTGCACACTGCTCTAAATCACCCGGAAACCAGAAAGCTTAAGCAAGAATGTGATTCATCAACTAAAGTTCAACACAATCACGCCCAATAAGCTGACTACCAAAAGTCAAGGCTAAACAGGCACCGGGGCGACAAGCTTTCAGCCCTAGACCAGCGCGTTCTGTCCTCGTTTTGGGGGAGCCCGGATAAATGATGCCAACTTGTGACCACATAAGCAGCCCATACATATCAGATAAGGTGGAACAGAGGATGTATCAAAAGCAAAAATAAAGATACAACATGCCACAACATTTCACGAGAACATCGCTGTTCAGTCTGTAAACTTTACATAAATACATATCTCAAGGAAAAAACTCTGAAACTAAAAAAGCAAAGCTGTAAAAGGCCTAAGCAGTGAGCTGATCTTCTCCTTGGTTGCTGTTGCCTAAACACAAACTAACAAACTACCCGAACAATCACCCTCAAACTGCCGCGATAACAAAACAGTCCTCCTCCTCCTCTCTGACCCCAAGCACAGGCAAAGCACAGGGCTGTATCCTCAGAAACTGCCGGTCAGCTTCTACAAGCATGTTACAGAGAGCCTCCAGACAAACTGCTGGTTACATAATTACAGTAACCGAGGTATCAATTTTTAGCTCTCTTGGTGATATAAAAATCACCACTGCGATTTGTAAATTAATAATGCAAATTATAATTAACAAGAACAACAACAAAGGACTCAGCAAGAGCCACCCACCAGCACACAGGCCAAAACGTGCAGAAGACCACACTGACGGGGGCAACCTAAGGGCCCTGGTCAGGACAAGGACTTACCCTGTGGCCCCCAGCAAAAGCATATAGAAAAGTGAAAGTCTATACTTACAACACGGCCATCCTTTAGTTTGATTTCTACTTTGCCATCCTGGAAACTGACATGCTTCACCAGAGCCTCAGCCATGACATTCACCCCCTCTGTAATGAAAAAGGGCAGCGAAGTGGCTGAGTAAAGGCATTAGGAGGAACTATGGCAATTACAGAACGGTGAAGGGCCGCTTCACTAATAATACGCAAACGTTCAAGTGCTTTTCACCTTTCCTGACTTTATTAGTCGTCCAGTTGCTTAGATATTCGGGCAACACCTTTCCCATATTGCCCTTCTCGGGAAACATCTGTATCACCTCCAGACCAGTTTCTTTAGCTGATTGGGGACAGAATTGGAAGCTTGTGAGTGTATGTCCTATTACGATTGGCTGATATCTGAAGCACTCAGGAAGTGGCCTTACCTTTCCTACCCAGGGCACATGCCAGCTCACTCCCCAAGAATCCACCTCCAACAATAGTTATGGACTTGACTTCTCTAGATATTTTCTCCAGACACCTGAAATCTTCAATCTATAAATATAAAAGTCAGACATTCACACATTTGTACAATCTGGAAATATACACAGTTCCAAATTGTGAAGAGAGAAGACGGAGACTGCACTGCACATACCTTCCTGAAGAGGGTGGTGTGCTGTGCCACGGCTGCTCCAGCCCTCTCCAGTACCTGCAAGTTCCTTGGCTCTCCGCCTAAAACAGCCCGAAAACTAAATTACATACATTAAATGGAAAACTGAAACAGCATTATATAAATGCAATGTCAGAAAAAGATTCTTACAGATACTTATATATGGAGTGCAAAAACAATAACAATAATAATAATTGATGCTTTATCGATCCCCATGGGGAAATTGTCTTTTCCATAAAGGGCAGCCACCCGTAGGGGCGCCCAGGAGGCTGGGGGTTAAGGGTCTTGCTCAAGGACCCGCAGACTGAGGCTGGGTTCGAACCAGTGACCTTGTGATTACAGGCACACAGGCTTAGCCCACTGAGCCAAACGCTGGCCCCTAAAACTCACCGTTAGTATGAAGGCAGACGGGGTATGAACCTGCGATCTTCGGTTTACGAGACTGACGCTTTACCTCCAATCTCAATGGGGATTTTAAAAAACAGCATAGCGCTATTGTGAATGCATGCAAATTGTGTGTGCAAAAATACACACAATATGCAAAGACAGTAAACACCAAATCCACCCCATATACAGATCATTATGTAGTTCAGCTGCTATGCAGAAGAGGTGGAGATTTCTGGTCCAGAGAATACAAATCCAGACCAAGATTTTGTTTCAACCAACCAGTTCAGTATAAAGAGTCAGTCACAGAGGATTCAACTAGTTGGTTGAAACTAAATCTTGGTCTGGATTTATACTCTCTGGACCAGAAATCTCCACCTCTGCACAGAGTGCTGTCTCGACTTACCTGTGGCAATGAGGCACTTGTCGTAAGAAATCTCAGAGTCATCGTTTAGGCGCACTTTGTTCCCTCTTACGTCCATGTGCACTACCTATGAAAGCATGTCAGGAAATTCAGAGCAGGTACTTTTCACTTGACCTGCCAGTCCAGAGCTGAAACTAACTGCTCAACCTTTTGATATCACCTTCTTGACTTCTGGAACATCCACGCACACGTACACACACAAACGCACAGGTACACACACAAACGCACAGGTACACACACAAACGCACAGGTACACACACAAACGCACAGGTACACAGGCACAGAAACACTAGCTAAACATTAGGGACCTTAAAAATATTAGGCTTTGCTTTAGTCAAGCAAAAAGAAACGGAAGGTACCTTTTTACCAGTAAGAACTGCCACCCCACCGTTCTCCACCTCAGATAACTCCTGAGGACTGACATAAAAAGATGGAGGCTGGAAATAGATGCTGTAAAAAGAAAAATGCAGATTATTCAATAATTCCAAGGAGAAACCCACAAAGCCCTTTTCAGAGAACGGGACAGACCTTCTCTCTTTGCCATTCCACTGTTTGAAACGGAGTGTTTCTATCACAGTGGGATCATCAGAGAACCACAGCTCTTTGGAGAGAGGAGGGCGCATGTACGGCAGATCCCATTCATCTGTAACGATTAACACCTAAGGACATAGCAATGTAAACCCAATGGAGCTGATCAGAATTCGGCAGTACTTCTTATGACTAGTCTGAAGAGGGCAAACGGCATTGTAGCTGAAACTACGCTTTGGACCTCTATGTTTTTAAGGGTCAGGGTTCATAAAAGGACATTTTATTGTACTCTTGAGAAAAATACTTCAGCAGCAATACCCAACTTCACAAACTACAGGTAAAGAGTAAAAATCCCAATTCACTTTGAATAAAAGTAGGATGTCTACATGGCAGTGAGTGTAGGTTACTTGTTTCGATTCTACAGGCACACCCTGCTACAAGAGAATTATCTGGTACTGTGTGGCATGGTACTGTGTGGCATGGTACTGTGTGGCATGGTACTGACCCTGGCGCCAGGATCCCGAGCCCGAATGGACCTGGCTGCGGCAAAGGCGGCGGTCCCACCACCGATCAGCAGGTAGGGGGCGTGAGGGGGGAGCTCGGGGGGGCTCACTGCTGCATCTGCCCCAGCTGTATGGGAGGCAAAGGGCAAAGCCTTAGACAAAACAGATCTGAAAGCCCTGAAAAGGGTGTTGTGCTGGATAGAGAGGTGGGTCTTCACGCCTCAGAACAGCAGCTCATGGCTTCCATATAAGCCTTTCCTCGGATATAAATACCAAGACTGGCGTTGTGTTGTGTTAGCATATCTCAAGGATTAAGGCTGGTCCTTCCATTCATGTTTCAAAACTAATAATAAACTTCCAGTGCTGTTAGCTCTTACCACTTTCAGTAGAGGAAGGATCCGTCTTCAGTTCTCCAGGTGTTGTTTCCAATACTGGTGCAGATACTGTCAGTATAATTGAAAGAGAAATCTAACTGCTTTGTTTTGGTAAACAGGCTGGATATTTTCACGCTTAATAATAAAAAAAAAAAAACTAGATACAATGTGTTAAAACAGGATTTCCCCAGATGTCAGTGTTAAAACAGTCAGTGGTTTGGAAAACTGTCACCAAAAAGTCAGGATGCAAAGCAAATTGATGCATTAGTAGACGATGGTAAAGGAAACATGTGTGAAGTTAATGGGACGCATGGAGAAAATGAAGAAAATTCATGGATGGTCGAGTCTGGCAATTTCACAGTGAGTGAACAAGAACATGATGCTGTGGTCATTGTGAACATATGACAGACAATCTCCCACATGCAGTTTCATATTTGCTAAATGGAAAACTACCCAGTGCAACCAAACCTACATTACACAGAAGACTGAAGGGCGATGCAGCATCTTAAGTACAACAAGAAAGTCTAGACAAGAGGGTGGTTCAAACTATCCAAGGTAACCTTTAGATTCTGAAATTGTGCTGGAATCACTAGGGGTTACGGTCTTCTCCTGAGCGGGAACTCCCTCATTCTGCCCTGGAGGTCCCCTTTCTGCTAAAACAGAGCCTGTATTCTCTTCCACAGTGGCCACTTCTTCCACATCATGAATGTCAGGCTCTTTATAGTGAGAGATTGCATGCAAAGTCAGCAAGTAATGTTACAGCTTTCTCAGATGCTCACAGCAAAGGGTGAAAAGGCTTTGTGAAGCAAAGTTTAAGCAACTCAATGACTACAAGAAGTCAAATATGTTCTATAAGGGAGAAATTACTCAGCAATCAGCTCTATGCATGAACCTCTGCTATTAATATTCATATTTTTTTTAATGCTAGGTTCAGTTTCTTAAGCAATATGAGATCTTTTGAAAACCACAATTTTCAGTGAAATAAGTAGCTTTACTTCTGGCGATGACCTTGACCAGGATAAGCGGTCAGTAGGATGGATTGATTTCTGGTAGTACTGTCATTTGTTCAGGTTTAACAGCTTCATAACTTCATTCATTTTAAGCAACTTAATAGGAGACTTGCAAAAACAAAAACTGAATATTGGATACTTTTGGAAAACAAAAATCAGTATCGTCACAAATATAAATAAGTAAACAAATGAACAAACAAAAACAAAACAATGTCCTAGTCTAAAGTATTATCTTTCACCATAGGCAAAACTGACACCCATCCAACATGATAAACAAACCAGGACAAGAAATCACAAGAATCATAAAACTTTTCAGAACCAAGACAAAAAATTTTACATAAAAAGTTTTGGACATCAAGACTGCAGACCCTATTGAGGTACATAAACTGATATTTAAACTCCAAACTCGAGTCTTAAGTGGAGCAGAGTGTCTTATACATTATAGGGATATTATGATCAACATGTGTAACTCTTCAAGGAGCAATTAAGTTATATAAGTAAAATAATATTATACAAGAAATATATTTCTGTTAGATGTAGTCTGGTTTTGGGACATTGCAAAAAAACTGGGGAAAAGCTTTTGAAATTGATTAAAAACACTTCTGTTAGAAAATCTACACATAGCATTAAAATAACAGGATCAGGTCTCCATCGCAGAAAGCAGTAACAGCAAAGTAACCATTAATTAAGAAACCATTAGTTATAGGAACCATTTGCATTACAAAAGTAAAACAGGAACTGAAGAGCAAAAGCCCACCAACCCACCTGCAGCTGAGGCTTCTTCAGAGAGCTTTACAGATCTGGATCTTATTTCATTAAGTCGATCCTGGTACCTCTTCTTATCTTGTGACAAGGTGCTATACATCTTCAAGAAAGTTGAGAAAGTGACTGTCACATGCTCAGCATTGCTAATATTCAATTCAAAGTGCAAATGAAAAGAAACGAATAACTGAATCACACCAAATGCAGCATATGAGTCTGGCCTGCAGCCCCTTGACATCATTCCCCAGAACTCATACATGCTGTATGAAAATTAGACAAAAACTAATATTTTGAGCTCACTGAGTAGCTGTTAAGCACAGTGTGGCCATTTCAAATTTAAGCTGTGTACTAACTTGCAAAATACATAACCTAAAAGAAACTATTACACTTTGGTTGCAGAAGTTAGAACAACAGCAAACTTCAAAATCCAAATTAGATTTTCATTCTTCTGTGTTGGAGAGTTACTGGGTGTAAGTAAAATTGCGTATTAATTACACTGACAGGAAAATTCTGGAACAGGGCTTGCATACCTGTTAATAATACTGAGTTCTTGTACATAGATTTGTTGTACAAAACAGAATAGATATCCAGGATAAGCACACTAAGTAAAATACAAATGAAGAATATCAAACTGTTTTATTGCCAAAAAACAAAGTTCAGTTTATTTTGTTGCAAAAACCCTTTATTTTGCCTTCCAGTATAAAAACTCAAAAACTCATATGTACACTTACATAAATTCCTCCTCCAAGAAAAGCAGCACCCACAATCATCAAGTAAGCGGCATTATCGCCTGCACCCCCGGGGGCGCCTGACGACATCAGGGCCTTTGGAATCACGGGCACCATTTTGTCACATTTCAGCACTAAGAGAAAGAAAGGTGGATCAGACAAATAACAGTCTCAGAACACAATGACTGAAATGATAACTGTACTTAAATCCAGAACCATAAAATAGCAAACTACATTCATTTGTATCACGTAGAGCGCAATCACAAACCGAAGTGTCATTCTACCAAAAATAATATTTTGCGACCATAGGCGAATTACTTTAGCTTACAAGGCCTCTGTTTAATAGTTAACCGTGCACGACCTTGGTACAAACTTTACACGAAAAGCCTTGGGGTGCAGACACGCCGCCCCAGCAGGACACCATATATAGGGACGTAGTTATTTCATTCATCTTTGACACTCCGGTGTGACATTTAACTTAAAGACTGTGCAAGGCCTACATACGAGCACCAAATTAACACAAAAATAACATTATTCAGTAAACGTGAAGAAAATCTTCTAAGAGCACGGGTTAGCCATATAGCCATCTAAACTAAACTATTAAACGTATATTATGATGTATATGACACAAAACCTGCGCAATGACTGCCAAATACAAATACGTACTCACTTAGTTCGCAGTCATTACTGACCCTTAACTAATCGACCGCCACTGTCGGTAGCCAGCCAGCTAACCTGTGACAACCTGCTACCAGACTGACGTTGTGCTATAAAATACTAAAGCAAAAGGATAGAGTGGACTCTACCTTTGCACATATAAAGCGATCCATACGAATTCACACCGAAGTGAATTTCACATTTGTAATCAGTAACGTTACCTCAATTCGCTACTAGACAGTCATGCCTTAGTGACCTGTCAGCTTCGTTTACAGTACATGGACGCACGATTTGTTGGTCAGTTAACAAAAAAAAGAAAGAAAACAAGCATGACAATCAGTAATTTGCAGGCAGTGTACTTACACGGCTATCACCAGCAGGTACCGGCCACACAGAGAGTGTAAATACATACCCTTTCTTCGAACATGATGGCGACATAAACTTGAAGAGGCTCTAGCCAATGGAGCCAGCTTCTGCCACATTGCCGTGCACTTCAGCATCCTCACTCCTCCACCAGACTATTGCTATGGGCAACAAACCACAAGAAAACTGACCCAAACTAAAGCTGGGTGCAAGGCACCACTCTACACACTCAGGTCTCCCTCAAGGCCTAGAGGAACCTTCAAACTAACTCCGCCCTTCGGCATTTCCTTGCCAGTCGAACGGATTTTTGTCATTGGCTGCTTCAATCGTCAATTTTTGAAATGCTGTTTTTACTCGACTTCTATTGGAGTTTATGCGGTGACGCTTTAAACGTATATCCGTTTGATAGGTCAGAGGTCAAAAAGGTGGATCCGGAGTAAGATGATAGGTGGTTAGGAAGGTCAAATCACTTTTTTGACGCGGGATTGGCGCTAACATGTGTGACCGCTTGTGTCGTGGTGCGGAAACTAGTACTGTTAATGCATATGGTTAACAGTGCGGAGTCTTTGCAGGGAATGGATTTGTTTATAGACGTCCATTGATTTATTAATGTTAGTTAACCGTTTTCTAAGGCATCTACATTATCTTTAAAATTGTGTGAAATGCTTTCTGTTCATGGTTGCACCTTAGCGAATGCTCATACACAAACTTAATCTTTGGGTTCAAAGAGGTCTTTCTATTTTAGGAGGCATTTTATTAACTAAAATGGGAAGTATGGCACGTCGGATATATTCTAGATATTCTTTATTGCTCCTCAGGAAGGTTATAAAACCCATAAATCATTTTTATCAGTTTTATTTGGAAAAAAGCCACACCATGTAAGGCGATACACCGGTAGTGCACCACTTTGAAGTGGGTGGGTTTAAGGCTTATCTGCGTTAATGGTAGCCTTAAAAGTAATCGGTTAGTTTGACAAAAAAGCGGGAAGTTTTGGCATCATATGCAAGTACATTGGGGATGTATTGATTTCTTATTGAAATACGTTTTGTCTATCAATAAATTAATGATGTAACTGTCCACGTTTCAGCATCAGCAGATGCTACTCTACTCGATATAGACTTCATAATACCCCAATATGGGATAACCGACACTAAATAAAAACAAGGCATTGTTCAATGCAGAATGGATGAGGAATGTATTTTCAATTGCAGTTTTTGGAGTTTAGGTTATCTCACTCTGAATTTTGTTTAAAATATGATCGTGACTGTGCTTCAAAAAATTACAGCTCAGTTACCAAAGCCATTGATAATTTTCCAGCAGAACAGTTTTGAAACTCAAATTCACTACCTCTATCTTCCACATCTGTTTGATGCCCGCACCTTTGATGATTATGTACTTTCTAATTGCCTTAAAAAAAACACGTTAAGATGTTTCATTTGGCATATTCAAAAGTTAATCCTTTTTTATGATCACAAAGTCAATTCAAAACTGCACCAATTTGTTTTAGTGTCCAATTCATCCTAAAGCTCAACAGCACAGGATCAGCCAATGTAGCGATCTTATGGCCACATGTACAGACGTAGCCTGCTGACCCACTCACTGACCTCTCGTATACATTTTGGACTTGTAATTGAAAGTAAGGAGGAAGGATGTGTAATAGGTATTACACTCCATTCCATTCATTATACTCCATTCATAAATCCAAATATTTGATGACCTGTATTTTGTATTTTTTAATAAAGAATTGTACAATTATATCTCTAGAATGTATGAAGAAATATTGTGCTCAGAGTCTTGACTCCCTCCATGATGAAGAGCCCTCACAACAGTCTTATTTGAGACCTCAAATCCAGATGAGCCCAGTTCAGTGACTAACTTCATAGAGATCCAGAGGATTCTTGTTGACATCTTTGATGATTTTCCTGTCCAAAGTCTTTGAAATCTTGCAGTTGTGGCCTCATCCAGGTTTGATCCTATCAGAACGTGTCTCCTTGTACTTTGCAATGATACAACACATAGCAGTTCTGGACCCTGTGAACAGCTTGAAACTTAAGGCATAGCTATCTAATTTAAGATGGGCATCCACTGCCTTCTTTCTGAGGTCCAGACAAATTTCTTCAATTTTTGGCATGATGATTGACCACCCCAATTTTGAATAAATTAGTTATACAGCAGTCTAGGACTTTTTGAAATCTCTTAAGTGTACCAAGTGGGGTCCTTTGCATTGATGAATGGAACATTTTACTCTGTAAAGATTTATTTGTGTTGCTAACATTGGACAGAATTTTAGGAAAAGGTTCCATTTTTTATATATCCATCTATCCAACTGTGCAACCGATTCAGGATTGTGATCACGATCATACACACACACAATTTTTTCTCACCCCAGAAAATAAAGGAAATTCTTACGCTTTTTGTCCATCTATGCCTTTGGTCAGTGACCACAAGAGTTCTCTCTCAAAACCATTTAAGATAAAACTTATGAATTATTTTCTGTAATTTTTCATTCAATATTTTCAGACCTTGGTTCACTGAAACCATGGAAAACAAAATCGCAGAGGGGGGTGGGGAACCGTATTCAGACCTACTGTATCTCGTTATTCAAACAAGGACATAGCAGTACTTGTGGTCTGGTGTTGAAAATGGTGTTTTCGTGAAGTATTAACATCTCTAAGATTTCATTAATGAGACCCCAAACTACACTCCTGTAATGCTAAATGTCAAAGAATCACTTGCTTTGGTGAGCAGTCTATAAAAATGATGACAAAGGTCATCATTAAGTTATGGTGCTTCAGGTATCATTGTGCCACAGAAATCAGACAATTCAGTAGACCAACAGAAGACTCCAGTACCTGGCAACAGCATGAGTTGCATTACCAAGCAATGGGAAGCTGTACACTACTGGAACCAATGCAGTAACGTATCGGGAAGTGGTCTGCCGACATACAGCACATGCTGGTCCCTCACCATCTTCAGCTTTGAAGTTCCGTTAGTTGTAGCATGAGTCTCAAACAGAGCAGTGGATCTATAAGCTTTCTCCACTGACTCATGCCAGCCTCTTTCTAATTCTCAGCTTCAACTGCTCCACGTAGACGGTTCCTTACTGCTTGGCTTTCTGTCAAGAATCTTCTAAGACAGGCATTTCATACACCGACAAGGAAACTTTCCTTTGTCTGTCATTTCTCTTGTCTGAGACCATTCGATGACCAACATTTACACTTTCAGGAAAAAAAAAAAAAAAGATTAGAACAACCATAGAACTGGAAAATGAAAATACAAATTTCACTTCATCTCTGCATTTTTTTCAGTGGCCACCTGGAGACATGCTTTGACTACGACAGTTTAAAAATGCAAATACCAAAGCTTAAATTTTGTGGTACTCCCTTTAGACACCATTACAATGAAACCTGGAGCTTGGCCAGTTTGCTCGTTCGATGTCTTTTTTTGGTCAAAGGAAGCAAAAAAATGGAACACAGTAATGGCACTAAAATATTAATGGCTAAAACAACAGTCTAAAAATAAATATACAGAAATGAAAATGATGATTTAACTGGAAAAAGCTAAAATCCAGTTACCTTCACACATTAACTTGGATTTAAAATACTGAGTAAAACTAAAGGAAAGCTTTATGTACAGAGATCTGGAATGGAGTTAAGGATAATTCATATTTATAAATCGGCTACCAAAATTCTGAAGCACAGAAATGCCTAGCTTGTTTGAATATCTGCTATACATAGAATTTAACAATTAGGGCAAAACGGTCAATTAGTCATTTATCAGTGGCTGTCTTTGCTTGACAGTATGTACATTTTCCTTTCAACCTGAGGCAAATCCACCAGCCTAAAAGATACTGCAAATCCAAAAAAGTGAATGGATAAAATTAATTGATTTTTAATGAGAAAAACAAAAACCAATATAGTACAAATTGAAATAAAAGTAACAATTATAGCTTCTTTTTTTTTAAACACATAATGTCTTCCATTATTCTCTGCTCAGGGCAAACACTATTTTCACAACAGAGCCCTCCTCCTTGTAGTTCAAGATTATCCATCATTTTTAATGCAACTAATGCATTGTCTGTTTGCTGCTTGCATGTCTGTTCTTGAGATTAAGCAACAGTCCCTGCTCCATTAGCCTTGTTCCCAGAAGCATGAGGAATGGGGAAACACGGGTGTGGACAAAGGTTCCATCTTTACCCACAAAGGATGAAAAATATCCATAAGGACCAACACACATCACACAATGTCTTTGAGGGCTTCCAAGTCGCTCACCCATAGAAGCCCCTTATTCAGTAATATGAATTGGTGCTCTGTCCAGGTTGTGAATCTGAAAAAGACAATTTCAGTGAAAAAAAAACACTTAGTATACCTTTAATAGTAAAAAAAATACAGAAAATTAAGGATGGTCACCCATAACCTGATCCCTACTCCCCCTGCACCCCCGATCTCCACAATCTCTAGCCCCCTATGCACTCTACCCATCTCTCCAAAGCTTACTTGAAAGCTGCTGCTGCAGCTGTCTGACCAGGGCAGCTGTTTGCTGTTGCTGTTGAGTCTGCTGCATACCCTGCCGAGGAAACTGAGACACCCACAGTCACCTCAGGGCAGGTCGAGACAAGACAAATATGCATACAAGTATCCATGTTCGTAGTGCCATAACAAAACGGGTAGTATGGATCAAGACAGAGGGTCAAGGAGTCTACATAGAATACTGAATGTTAGATATATACACACTGTGTTAAAATCAGTGTCAATAACTATAGCTTAGTAAAAAAAAAAATATAGGTTCTGTATCAACGAGGCATAAATAAGGCATTTTACACTAATTCTTGAGGAGGAGACATAAGTGGGACCAACCATGGGCTGCTGTGGTGGGAGGGGCTGCATGCCCAGGGCCTGCGGCTGTGCCTGGGCAGGGGGCTGCGACCCCCCCACCTGCTGCTGCACTTGCTGCTGCGGCACTTGCTGTTGCTGCACCTGTTGCTGTTGGACCTGCTGGACCTGCTGGACCTGCTGCTGCTGCATAACATGAAAGATTCACTGGTACGGTGCGGGCAGCCATTCTGGCTTCACTTCACAGTCATTACCCAAAACTGGTTTTACACAGGAATAAGGCCTCCACGTATTTCGGGGAACAAGGCTGAGGGATGAATAAAACTAGGGTAGAGAAAAGAAGGCCGACGTCGGCATCTGGGTCGAGACGCATACCCGCAGAGCCGCAGGCAGCGGGCGCAGGTACTGCGGCTGGTGCTGCGCCTGCTGCTGCTGCGCCTGCTGCTGCTGCGCTTGCTGCTGAGCCTGCTGCTGCTGCGCTTGCTGCTGCGCCGCCTGCTGCTGCTGCGCTTGCTGCTGCGCCTGCTGCTGCTCGGTCAGCAGGGGGTTAGCCCTCATGGCGGGGTGCACCACCTGGCCGCCCATGTGAGCCATCCCCTGCACCATCGGCGCCTGCTGCATTGACTGGTGGGCAAATCTGTGGAGGTTCCAGAACACAGACAACTCCTTAATGAATTACACAAAGACTCCATGCAACCCTAACCCTCTTCAGAGCCATCCATCCATCCATCCATCCATCCATCTATCCATCCATCAGACTCATTGGAGGGACTCATGGCCATATTCAAAGTAGACATGAAACACAAGGTGTAGTTAACATAATTTCCAAGATGGATTCCCACACCAAAAATCCTTATAGGTTCAACACTGTCGGGGAAACTAAATTAAAAACAAGTAATCAAAGTTAGATTTTTCTGTAGTGTCATCTTCAAGCGTAGGACGTGACATCAGGAGGTTGGTTGCCTTAGAATTCATGCATTAGGTCACATTAAATTGCAGCCAATTTTTGTGTAAATATTCTGTGAATATTACGGCACCTTAAACTAAAGCTTTCCAGTGTCATACTAAGTGATCTAGCATCAATGATGTGGTTCAAACTACAAATTTCACTAATGTTATACTGTTTTATTAGTGCTGGTACGTGACCCCACCATTTAGCAAATTGGTGATATCACAAGTTTACCAACTACCTAGCAGGCCTGCTGGCTTCTGAGTCGATGGAACTGCTTTTAAAATCAGCTAGACAACTGTGGATATTTAACGTCGACTTAAATCAGCGGCTTTGCGAAAGTAGTCTTTCATTCATACCAATGTTTCACCAAGCTGATTCTATCTGGTCATTCTTCTTACCATTACAGAAGATACACATGTAATGTGTGTGTAAATCCACACACACACACACACACATACACACACACACACACACACACACACACACACACACACACACAAGAAACAGTCTATTTAGCGGATCTGCTTTTTGCTGATTGGCTCACCTTTGTGTAGTCTGCATAGTGTGCACATAGCTGGGTGCCTGCTGATGAACATAGCCACTGGGCCTCTGCTGGATATGCCTTAAAGGGTCCACCATGGGTGGGTTGGAGCCAGGTTGCGACCCTGGGAATCCCTGGCTGGAGTAGGCGGAGTGAACCATCCCAGCAGTCTGGGAGGGGTGAGGATGTATGTGAGAGCCGTAGGACGTGTAGCCCTGCGCAATATTCTGTGAGAAGAGCAAACATAATTAGGCAGCACATCCAGAAAGTCAGTAACAGCATACATTCATCAGAAAGATAGCGGGACTTACCTGGGAGGGTTGCATTGATGAGTACTGGTTGTTGGGTGTCATTTGTCGCATTTGTTGCATGTTCTGGAAAGTACAGTGATATTTCAAATTAAATTCTCATCAGTTAAGAGAAACTCTAAATAAGCAAGATACGCAGTCCATGCATTTTGATTGATGAGGACGGGCCAGCGAGGCT